TGCAGTCAGAAGTATTGTTGACGTTCGTTGATATTGCGTTTGTTATAGAGCGATTGTTGAAAATAAGTGTGTTGTTAAGTTGTATTCGGAACGAAGTTACAGAAAGTTAATTAACAAACGGAGACGTAACAATGCTTTATTTCGCCAATTACATTTATTCCGGGCATAAATTATAAAAAGCAAAAACTGAACCAAAATTGATTAGTAATCCTAGAGTTCACAATTATCTTTATCAGGATAAGGTAACATTATTTTGTGTTTTTAATTGATATCTTAACAGCCTAATAAAGGAAGCAAAAACAATAGCTAATTCCAGTTATTCTAACAAAAGAATACACAAGCCCCAAATGTCATTGAAAACATTTCTTCCTATACTCCCAAAATCTCGGGCCTGGGTCAACTGCTTGACTTCACTTTAATAACTGAAAAAGTGATACATTCTTATAAAATATTCATGTGAACTTTTCAAAATATTAATGCTGGTGGTTTAGGTAAGGTTATGGCGACCGGATATAATTAACCGTTTTTATTATACATATATAATAACTAGCCACTAATACCAACTAGTCTTCTACCATCTTCGGAGAAGTCCCGAGAAGGACTATTTTCCGTGTTGGTAGTGGCCAAGATTCGATAATGGGTCTTTTTAATATAAGCCTAGTAAATTACCCACTTGATTAGTCAACTCAAAAGGCCTCATCTATTAACAAAATACCTTCATACCCGCAAGAAGGCACCACAATCAACTGATGAACATGTAGAACAGTTTCTGATGAGATCTAGGCACAAAAGAGGAGGAGGGAGAGAAAAATGAAGATTAAAAGGACATGAGACAAAATAGTGAGAGGGAAGTGACAACAAAGAGAATGAAACTCCCAAGGAAGAGACAAACCTAAGGTTTCCAGCTGACGAAAATATGATGCTGTTTTGCAAATAAATTGTGACATACAACCTTATTAGACAACAACTGTGCTGAAATTGTGGTATAAACAGAAAACAACCCAAATACTTAGATAAGAAACTAACACAGAACATTAAATCGTACAGTGTATATAACTAGGCAATTAACCCAAATAACGCAAGCCTGCGATAGTTTTATTGTCTTGAAACTTTTACGTTCCACGGTAATTCCTGTACGCTGAATCTGAAAATGTCCATCACGTACAGATTTTTCTCAAAATGTCGTATGTACCCTTACATAAGTGAATCATTTTCATTGAAATCGGGTCACATTTTGTTATGCTTAAAAATGTTGACAACCACTGACTATAGATTTTCCAGACCAATCGCGACGTGAATCTTATCAATCGTTCTAGAACCCACGAGCAACACACCGCTAGCATATAAACGGTTAACATTATTTTTCTTTTCAATACCATTTATTCGTCGCTATGGCAACAAGAGGTTATGTAAATTACTCAAACATATTCTGTTATACTTGTTGAAAAGAAACAAAAGCAAAACATTATAAAATTCGTCAAAAAAGCGTATCACGCGTATTTTGGAATAAATCTTGGGGACTAATACAAATCGTGGGTTCCGCACAAAGTTTGAACAATGAACTAAAGATAAGAAAAAGTCTTTGCCTTTTGGAATTCCAATGGTTTGGCGTGAGCCTAGAAACCATGGAGATGACCGCTATTTTTACTCATGTAGCGTGCAAGGCTACAACACTTAAGATAAAAAGGAAATTTATTATCTGAACCTTCAATATGCTATAAGACCTATTGTACCTGTACCTACTCCACCAGACTCTTGAAATAGTTTCATATGATTCTGAAGTCAATAGCAATGATGATAATGATTGTTTTTAACCTGAAACATCTGGTGAACCACATTTCACACAAGGTGAACTTTATGATTTGGTGAGAGATTTGGGCCTTCCAAAATATTCTTCAGATATTTTAGGGGTTCAGACTTCGGACTAAGAACTTACTTTCTCCAGGGACATCATTTTATTGGTACAGAAATCGTGAGAATGAGTTTATACCATACTTTTCGTAAGAAAGTTCACTGGTTTATTGCAACAATATTGCTGAATTAATACCAATTCTAGGAGCTGCAGTCTGTGAACCAAGTGAGTGGCGATTGTTCACTGATTCTTCCAAAAGAATTCTAAAACGTGTTCTCCTTTTCAATAGTAACATATATGGATCTGTTCCTATTACTGATTCGGTTTACTTGAAGGAAGCGTACGAAAATAAGGTCAAACACAAAGAACATGATTGGCTACTTTGTGGAAACTTGTCTTTTGCACATTGTTGGGTCAAGAATCCGGTTATAAAGTTTCCATGTTTTTTTGTATGAATGAGATGGCAAAGCACGAAATCAGCACTGGATAAAGAAGCAATGACCACGCAGAGTCAGTCAGATACCAGGATAAAAAAATAGAACGTGAAAGTTTCGTTGACACAAAGAATGTCCTATTACCTCCACATCACATAAAACTGGGCTTGATGAAACAGTTTGTAAAGGCCTTAGACAAAGATGGCGACTGCTTCAAGTATCTATGTGGCAATTCCCAGCTCTTTCAGAAGCAAAACTTAAAGAAGGGATTTTTTTGTTGGGCCTGAGATTAGGAAATTTACTTCGGATGAACAGTTCGAAAGAACAATGAAGAAAGTTGGTTGCCTTTAAAGATGTTGCTGATAAGTTTTTAGAAAACAATAGGGACCCAAATTATGAAAATATTGTCAGTACCATGCTCGATGTTGGGTTGTAATATGAGCTTGAAAGTTCTACCAGTTAATTTTAGATAATCTGATATATGTACTGAATTTTAGTTCTTTAATCACAATGATCCCAAAAGTTTCTCTTAAAAACACAAACTGAAAATGACATGTTCAGTAAAGTAAAAATATCTGAGCACTATATTGTTAAATTCAAATACACAATCATTAAGCTACAGTCTAGAAAATGAAAATCAATGAAGTAATGAATAAAGGCAAAAACAACATTTTCTTTAATGAAATAATATTTGAAAGTTTATCACAATGTCTCTTCTATGGTGCAAAGTATTCACAATTTAATCTAGGATGTTACAATGTTTTAATAACTATCAATTATGAAAGTTCTACAAGCATAATACCATAATTGTATTAACTTAAAAAAAACAACAATTAAACTGGAACACAGTTGTAACATCAGTGAAAGCTTATTAAGCTGTAAAGCTTAAAACAAAATTAAATTTAACACCTATAGAACCCAATGCAAAAAATTGAAAGTAGAAAAAATATACATGTACAAACACATATGAAACAGATGTATCTTTTTTCAGACACAATACCTTTCAATTACTCATTAGGACTTTTCTATTCTAAGAGGACACATGGAAATACAGATAGCAATGATTTTGTTGCATCACACTGTTGTTGGATATAAAGTAGCTCACGACCCAAGTTCATTCACATCGTCTTCGGGATGATAAACTCTAAAATGCTTGTGCAGTGCATCACTTTCACTACATTTTCTCATACATCAAGGAATAAGTCTGAACACTGTAAACTCTCTGTAGCTTGTTTGTAATAGTTACAAGCCTAAATACTGAAGCATACTTATATTCCTGTTAGACAGCATAAAACTTGAAAATACTTCAATAATTCTTAACCAGATCTACACAAGTACATGGAGCTCAATCAAAATGTTAAATTAATGTTACTTTGTACTGAGAGACTTAATTTTTTTAAACATAAAATCACATAGCTGCCTATATCAAGAAAAAAAGCACGACAACAATATAAAATGACAATGCTCAAATTTTCATTACTAGTGACATACAAGTTCCAACTTCAAGCTAAAAACAATGCTTAATTCTTAGTACAGTACATACTTAGGCATTTATCCATAAATATCAAAATATATTTGTCCTGAACTTTTAAATAATATTTTGTAATGAAGTAAGCAACACTAGTGGTTTAAGGATTAAACATATCAACAAACTTAAGTTTTCTTTAAATAAGTTATGATTATCAAAAGTAAATGTTTAAATCCAACTAATTACGGTTTATATACAGGTATTCATTCCTTCAGATCAAATCTTGCTTTATCTTAGATTAATCAAAATATTTTGAGAGTTTAAGGCGTGGAATAATATTCATTGACTGCAGCTCTTGAAATAATAATTTACATGCATAAGGTATTTGGATTGAAGCAATTTGACGAGATGACTGACAATAGTGGCACCAGCCTGAGTAGCCTAACAGACCACATTGATTACACACATCGACTTGGAAAGCATCACTAGACAGCATTAGTCGCTCCAATAACAACATACTTGCTCCATGTCCAATCAAACAATCTCGCTCCATTTCACCTAATCGTAATCCTCCCTCTCGTGACCTTCCTTCTGTTGGCTGTCTAGTCAGAACAGCACGAGGGCCTCGAGCTCGAGCATGAATTTTATCCATCACCATGTGCTTCAGCTTCTGGTAGTATATTGGACCAAAGTAAATGTATCCACTAAGATGTTCCCCAGTGATTCCAGATGTCAATGTATCTTTACCAAGATAGTTGAACCCATTCTTTATCAACTCTTTACTAATCTCATGTATACTGCTTCCACCAAATGCGGTTCCATAATGAAATTTTCCTTCCAGCACCCCAGCTTTACCACCAACAAGCTCTAATAGTTTACCAACTGTCATACGAGATGGATATCCATGAGGATTCATTATCAAATCAGGACAAATTCCCTGATCATTGAAAGGCATATCTTCCTGCTGGGCAATAAGACCTACAACTCCTTTCTGTCCATGTCTACTGCTAAATTTGTCCCCTATTTCTGGTCGACGAGTCTGTCGCATCAGAAGTTTAATGAGAAATGCCTCCTCATTATTTGATGAAATCATTACCTTTTCAACATAGGAAGGTTCTAATCCTTTATATACAATTGGGACCTCCCTGTGCTCTACTTGCTGTGGTTGTCCTGGTGTAGTTTGAATTGGATTCATAGTAACTGCTGGCATAGATTTGTTGACTACAACTTGTCGGCTTTCCACTCTTTCACCAGGAGCAGAAATTCCATCAGCATCTAAAACCTCATGTTTCCATATTGGTTTACGAGTGGTTGCATCTATCATAGGACCCAGCACTCTATCAAATGTTTGATTGGTGTATCGTTTCAATGTGCATTTTTGACTACGGTAAACCAAACACCTTCCAAATCCTCGGTCAAGGGAAGCTTTGTTCATGACAATGGCATCCTCAATATCATAACCACTATAGCTCATTACAGCTACTGTGGCATTCTGTCCTGCTGGAAGCTGCTCAAAGTTGATCAACTCAATAGTTCGAGATTTCACCATTGGTCGATGAGGATATGCAAGAAGGTACAGGAGAGTATCAATTCGGTTCCTCTGGTTTAAACCAATTGTACCCATAGCTTGTTTACCCATAGCACATTGATAAGTGTTACGAGGTGACTGGTTATGATGAGGATATGGTATGAGGCCAGCACACACACCTAACAAAGTAAATGGTTCAATTTCAAGGTGTGTTGTTTCTACACTAATGCTTGTTTGATATAAAGCAACATTACTGTCATTTTCTTCATTGACATCTAGGTATTCAATCAAACCATCATGAATGAAGTCTTCAAACTGGCGAACACCACGATTTAACTCTTCTAAATGTGCTTGAGTGACCATTGGACGACCTCCTTTGACAATTATATATGGACGACACAATCGGCCACCATCTGAAGCAATATAAACACAGCGATGGGTATGGTTTGGGAAGATAGAGACAAACTCATTGATATAACCAGCTCTGCGCAATATACGGAATGTATGCACTAGTCTTTGGTAGTCTTTTATGACTCCTAGAATACCCCCATTTAAAAAAACCATGTAAACATCTGGATGTGATAGCTCTTCTCCACTGAGGAGGTGCACATCTTCTACTCCTAAATTAAAAGCAAGTTTAATCAATGGTTCTTCCTCCATGTCAGTAGTAATGTGTGTCATCAATGCCAAATTTTTCACCAAACCACAGGATTCACCTTCTGGTGTATCTGAAGGACATAACATACCCCACTGAGAAGGCTGTAGAGATCTTGGTCCTGAAACTTTTCTTGTTTTTTCAAACTGACTATTAATCCTTGTCATCATTCCCAGTGCAGAGATGTAAGATAATCTTGAAAGAACTTGTGTAACCCCGACACGTTCCATCTTGAATCGCTTCACTGTCCAATTCCCAGTTGAAATGGCAGTGATTAAACCATTTGTTATCTGGTCTTGACGCATGTGCTTAATAATATCAAATTGGGCAGCTTTAATTTTAGGAATGTTCTTGTCTGCAATCATTTTCAGCTCAGAGTTAAATCGCTTAAACAAGTCTTCAAACAAAAGTGACAATAAGGATCCTGCCAGTTCAACTCTCTTGTTTCCATAATAGTCTCTATCATCAATTAACTTGGGATTTGTCTGGGCTTCAATGATTCTTCGGACCATAAGAGCCATATACATGGCCTTTACCTTGAATGTAAACTGTTCTGTGGGTATGTGGGCTAAAATAGTTGTTATCAATAAATCACGAGCTTCTTCAATGGGTGTTTTTTTAGGTCCACCTCCCCAGATTCGACGTTGTTTGATTTTATTTCCCATCCATCTCAAAGCTTGAGTCTGTGTGTACACTTGAGCTCGATGACATTCTTCAAGAGAAGGAGCAAATACTGACAAGGTGTGGTCATCAGTTCCAATCATCTGCACAATTTCTTGGTCACTTTCAACACCCATTGCTTTAAACACAATAGCAATAGGTATGTCTTCAGAAAAACTGTTGTGTTTCAAATAATAGTGTCCATGCTTAACAATTATGTTGGTACGTGTTTTTCGTTCATGAGTGGAGCTAGTCACCTGGCATGCAATTCCACCTTTGCTGTCTTCTTCAACAATCATTCGATTTTTTGACAACTGTTCTTGGCAAAGAATCACCTTTTCTATGCCATTCACAATGAAATAGCCACCAGGATCATGTGGACATTCATTCAGTTTAGCAAGTTCTGCTGGAGATTTCCCTGTAAGTACACATTTGGAACTACGCAGCATAATTGGCATTCTACCAATAGGAACATTATTTCGAACAACTCTCTGCTGCCCTCTAGTATATTCTATGTCAACTGTTATAGGAGCAGAATATGTCATGTCACGAAGACGACACTCATGTGGACATGTTGGTTTCGTAACATTAAAACCTTCTTCTACATCAGGATTTCCTATGTGAATGTTTAAGTATTTCATATAAAACAATGGATCAGCATCACTAGTAATCTTGCTATTTGCCATCAAAATCTTTTTAATATCAACTGTAATGAAATAATTAAATGAATCAACATGTTGGTTTACCAAACCCTTCACCTGTAGAAAAGCAGGAAGAAGTTTCCATTTATCCTTTAGTTCTTTTACAGGTTTTGTCACTGTTGGATCTTTCACTATATTCCACATATTTACAACTGGTCAGTCACTTGAGTTATATTCTGGAAGAGTATTATTATGAAAAAATTTAGAAACCCACACAGTTAATTTCTACATTAAATGCAATCCTATACATTTTGAGTGGTGATCAAAGATACTAGCTAATATACAATATATGAAAATAGTATTCATATTCAAATTGTATCAATGATGAATAAATCATTAAATAATTTTCTCTGTTTTGACTTGGTTAATCCTGGAGGATCAAACTGCACTTGTAGTGGAATTCAATTTTCACATTTCAATTTATGTACTCTAGAAAAAAAAAAAGAAATTTATATCATTATTAGATGTACTATTCTGAGGTTTTAATTTCACTGTATAATTAGAGATCTAACACCACTTTAACATTAAAAACTAAAAAGCACAGTAAAGAAAAGTTAGATAAAGTGATTTCTAAAGCCCTTCAGTAATGTCAAAAACACTTCAGTCTTCAAGACTATTGTAGAATCTTAAATTTTAATTGCATAGGTGGATGTTTGAAATAAGCCGATGGTACTTAAAAGAAAAAAACGTTTTCAAACACCAACATCATGCAAGATCATTAGAACAAAACAATACCTGATTTTTTAAAGATCACCCAACATCAAAACATCTTAGAAGTCTGAGTAAAGATATAACTTACCTATGAGGAATTAAAAGAAGATTCCATGAAACTTAGGTTTAAAAAATTTTTTAAACTATCAAACTTCACCTGGTACAAAAGTTAGTTAAAAACAGAACACTAGTTGTTATACATGAAAGTACTCAATAATAAGTTTAAAATATTTATAGAAAATAACCTAGAAAACTACTTTGAATTTAAAATAACACACTTCAAAAACATCAACTACTATTATACTTCTGGTGATAAAAAGATACAACGTACTTACTTTGTAACATCAGAAATTAAAGTTTTTCTCACAACTACATTTATATTTTGAATTGTATCATTAAACATGCTTTAATGTTTTCTTTGAGACATCATTCATACAACTAATGCATTTCTAAATTTTAAGTCAAATTTTCTTCTATAATTATACGCACACAATCTTTATGATAAAGTTACTCAAAAAGTAGAAAAAATATTAAGGTATCCAATAAATGATACAGATAAAAACAGTAAACAACTAATAAAAAAAAAATACTGTCTGGAACAAAGAACCTTCTCATTTACAAAATTCATTTACCCAACTTTTTAAATCAGTAAACATAATATCAAGCTTAAAGTAAGACCTAACAGTGAGACCAGTAACATTAATGTTGGCTATATTTGATTTCTACTTTTATTGCTTAAGACATTAGACATAAATGTATGGTTTGACATTATTCAGTTTGTTAGCACCTTGTATCTCAAAGCATTGCTTATAACAATTGTTAATAGACATAATTTACAGTTGTACTAAACAGTAAAACTATGATATTGATTAACTTTTAAAGAGACAGTTTTAGGATGTTACATGTAGAAACAAGGTTTTTTGGATTACATAATAAACATATAAATGTGACATACTGTTTTAAATTTTAGTTTTAGAACTTCAATTTCAAGAACTAAATTAATCGATAAATATGATAGCCAATTTTATGTTTCTAATATGTATATAAATAGCAAATTCAGAAAAAAAGAGTCAGAGTCAGCAGTTTTTGGGTAGCACACAAAACTGCAATAATTCTTTCTACACCATATATGCACATTCACAACATTTTAGGCAATGCCTCTATAGCCCAAAAATCAGCCCTCAGCTACATTGTTGTGAACTTATCAACTACAAGTTTTTACTAAATTTCATATTTCTTAACTTCATGAGCTGCATCAAATTTTCTTACTGAAATTCAGTCACACCTCACACATCTACCAGTGATAAGTATTTGCAGGATACTTGATTTACATTGCATGCTACTAAGCAATATAAAATAAATTACTCCTTACATCATATCAATTTATACAAGTCAGTGGGGTTATTACAATGCCTCTGAACACACTTACCCATTGGGCAAGAGTAGTTTTTTTTTCTATTACCTAAACAAATTTATCTCTTACACCAGACATCAGAATATAAGATTTGTCATTCCCTGAACACCATCCACAACTTTTCTTACATCATATTAAACATATCTCACAAAATTTCTTTCCAAATGTTTGGTAGATCTGTCATAAAACCCTATTACATGTACACTTTGATTGCTCTAACATGATTTTTCATCTTATATAGAAATGTTTAGTGACAACAAAAAATTTAAAAAAGTACAATAAAATGTATAAACACAGTAATAACAAAACCTCATCAATTACCCACCAAAAGGCAAGTAATTATCTTATTCAGACTATTTTATATGCTTAATTTTTCAAATTTATTACCACACAATATGTTTCAGTTTTTGAACTTATATGTATTATAACAGGGTTATTACTCTGTTAAAACTGAAATAATTCTGGTTATCCAGTTAACATGACATTATTAAATTCAATATAATTTAAACTGTGACAATAATCAACAACATTTAAAACAAAAATGTAAGACATATAATGCTTAGAATTTAGCAGTTTCTGTATACCAGTTCCTCAAATGTAAGGGTCTTAGACAGGAAGGTAACACAATGGACTGAACTCATGGAAGAAATGAATGGAGCACACCAGCTTCGAGGAGGCTGAACCCAAGAGAGGACACTCAGAAAAGGATCCTCCTAAGCAGGGTAACTCCTCACCCAGTAATAATATGTATATGTAAATGGAGGTCATCAAATAATAATATAACCTGTGGAGCCATGCACATTCTTAGATGTAGTCATATCAGATCACAAAATGCTGTCCTGTACCTGTAGTGAAAGATTCATGAAGGAGAGGACTAGTAATAACCAATGACAGAATGTGACCCTGAGACTTTCACCCTACTTTGAAAAGGTTGGCAAAGTTATAAAACCAGCCTTGACAGTAAGAACCCAAGGAGAATCAGAAAGACATACATAGACACAAGAATGAGCTCAACAGCTCTAAGATAATGCAGTTGGAACATTAAAAAAGGTTAAGGAAATATATAAATATATACAAAAGTTGATCTCTATCACAGTTGAAGCTATAAAAGATAATGTGGAAAATAGACATCTTGTCTCCAATGTCTCAAATGTTATGCACGGCTGCGAGTGCAAAGGTGGGAAAAAGATACTTGTCAATGCACTACCAGCCACCAGATGGCATTCTTGGTCCACTTCCGGACATCATCCTCTCATGAAGCTCCAACATAGTGTGTGGAATTATATCTAGGACAAATGCAACAGTATGTAACATGCAGAGGTGTCAAGCAGTATAGAACTACCCAAATTTTTATCACATCTTCCTAATTTGTTAACTATTTTTAAGTATGTTACTTGTTATCAAGATGAAGGAAGGGTTATCTACTTGGTGTACTTAGATTTTTGAAAAGTTTTACATAAGGAGCCACACAGAAGATTAACAACAAAAACATTGGTATTAGAAAATACAACTGAGTTGAAAAGTAGTTTGGTGAGAGAAATCAAAATTATTATAATTGATGATATTCCTCAAGGGTACTGCTTATGCTTTTTCTTATTTATATTAATGATACTGCTAGAGAGATAATTAAAAAATTAGTAAAATTTGTTATTGACACTACACTGAGTATTTCTAGCTGTGTTGAGAATGCTGAAGTATTACAGATTGCCTTGGATTAACTGGTAAGTTGGAGAATGAGTTGGAAATAAGTAAGTTATAGTGAGTGCACAGTAATACATCTAGATCATCATAATTTGGATCACATGTTTAGTATAGATGGAAACACACTTAATAATATGACTGAAGGATTTAAGCACTCAAGTCCTCGAAGCAGTACTCTGTAGCTTGTAGTGAAGCTAACAGAATTTTAGAATGTATTTAAAAACATGATTATAAACCAAATGATAAATATATCTGTATGCAAGTTATTAGGAAGCCCTCATCTGGAATATTATATGCAGCTTTGGTCTCCTAATCTAAGTAAGAACATTCACTCAGTTGCACCAGGGCCCCAAGCAGTAAGGGGCCCCTACTACAGATCTGGACCATCAGTTTAACTCTCTCTTTTTTGTAAATTTTCATATTTTATGTTAGTTGTTCTATTCTTACTCAACACAGACTACATCCATTTGACTGACCTTGTAACCACCATAAAAAAAAGTACAAAATAAATACAGGAAAATTAATGGCTGAAGTTGTCATAGAAAAATTATATAAGATGGGAATGAACATTCAAAATGCACATTGACAATCACATGATAATGCAGCAAATATATCAGGTAAATACAATGGCCTACAAGCGCATCTCAAGAACATAAACCAATATATTGAGTACATCCCTTGCGCAGCACATTCATTAAATCTAGTAGGCATGAATGCAGTAGGAAGTTGCAAATGTGCATCAATTTTTTTTAATTTTCTTTCAACTCTGTACAATTTTTGTGCTTCTTCAACCAAGCATTGGCAAAGCATTTGTGATGTCTTAAGAAACAATGATGGAAGGACAATTACTCTTAAGAACCTCAGTGGAACAACATGGTCGCCAATATCAGTTTCAACAAAAATTCTGTATGAAAACTATGACAGAATTTATACCAACCTTGAAGATTTATCTAAGGATATTGATGCAAGGTAAACAGTAAGAAATGAAACTACTGCTTTGATGAATAAAATGACAATGTTAGATATTGCTTTTATGACAGTGTTTTGGTATAAAATTCTTCAACGATTTGAAGCTACAAATGCTAAGCTTCAAGAAAAGGGCCTTGATTTGTCTATTTCTGTAAAAGCTTACAAGTTTGCTGAAGGAATATGTAAATTCACTAGGTGAAGAATTCAATAGAATTGAAATTCAAGCTCATCAGCTTTCAAATATAATAGAAGAACAGTTCAGGAGTGAGATTTCTAGAATGAGAAAAAGAAAGCTGGCAAATGTTGAGACTTCTGAAGGTGAAATTAGTTTATCTGGAACTCAGAAGTTTTGCATTGAAAATTTTGTATCAGTTGTTGACAAGTTACAAATGTGTTTGGAAAATCAGCTGCATATAAAGCGATAGATATGAAGTTTAGTTTTGTATCTAATTTCAAAAATTTAAGTGAGACTGAAGCTTTTGCTGCAGCTAAAAGATTGGGAGACATATACTCTCCAGATCTATACAGCTCTTTTATCGATGAAATGGTACAGTTCGAGAAATTTTTTGAAAGCAAAATGCCATCCACCCAACGATGCATCAAAGCAATCAGAAAAAACAAACACAAATCTGTTTTTCCTTATGTTGACGAGACAGTGAGAATATACTTTTGCCCACCTGCTATGAATTGCAGCGTAGAGAGAGATTTTTCTAAAATGTGTAGAGTAAAAAATTAATTGCTTGCTTAAATGTTAAATGATCATTTAAGTGCCCTTTCCTTGCTCACGATAGAAAGGACATTGCTTAGGCAAATAGATTATGAAGATGTAATAAGAGATTTTGCTTCTGCCAAAGCAAGGAAAAAACAATTTTAGGGTAATATTTTGGCATGCTTCCGTAATATTATACAATAACTATATTGTTTATGTACCTAATTCATACTAACATAGGGACAGTCTTGAAGGTTCAAATTGTCCCTTGTTGTCAGCAATGTTACGTTACAAATTTCATTGGAAAATGAACCAACTGAGTTATCTTCTGGCACTTAAAATTCTACTACAAAATTGAAAGCTTAAAAGTACAGGTAACTTCCATTTTTTATTTGTATGTATACACGTAGCTTGTTCAGAAAATATATATTATATATTTAATCTTTAAAGATTCCACTATAAAACAAACTCATGAAAAGTCACAATCATCTTGTTATGCTTGAATTTGAAATCCCTCTAAACAGGACCCATAACTCTTTATTTGGTCTTTTCTCCACAGCTAAACGCTTGAACAAGAGATTTAAGTTTTAAACTGTTATTAACATTCATATCTAAATCCTTCTATTTCTACAACACCAGAGTTCGTAAGTTCTTTCCATAATCCAAGAACATAACTTTACATTTCTAAATATTAAAATTCATCTCCAACAAAATCAACTCTGATTCGATGATGACAAAACCTTGTCGAAACGTTGTACATTTGCTGTTATGTTAAACTTATATTAAAGTTTTTCTTCATTACCCATTCAAGCCGTCTCTAATCATTATTAGAATCAACTCCTCCCAGCAACGTATTACAGCCCCGAAAACCTATACAAGCTATTGAAACATAAGTTATGGTCAACAAAAGCCCCAAAACAGGCCTTAGTAACTTTCTCTTGATTAGAAATAAGGCCCATTTATCACTTTCTTTTTTTCGCTTTTTTACCATTAAGCCAATTGTTTGTCCACTCTCCAATTTTATTGTCAATTCCATAAACATTTCACTTTCTTATCAATTAATCTCTAATGAAGCACTTTATCATATCAAATGCTTTCCGAGAGCCAAGATGCACAAGGTCAACAATGGTTTTCTCACCCCCAAAAATCAGAAACTTATCCAAAAACTTCTGAAAGTTGGTCAGACAAGAAAATCCTTTTCTATGTCCCCTGCCAGGCATCGACCTTAACTTTGAAGGCACAAGCAAGTAGTCGCTAGTTATTTTTACCACTAGCCATTTGATATTACAACAACATTATTCTTTACTAAAAGTAATGCAACTATCTCATAA